AAATGTAAGTATGAATATTATGCAGAAACTGTCTGTTCCCCTCAACTTGCAATTCCTTTGGGGGATGCAGATTGTAGGGAAGATGATGCGTAGTTTGACCTTGAAATTATGATATCCCTGCCCAGAGCTGTTTTCAAATACAATATAAAAACCACATAGGAAGCTGCTGTTGCTCTAAGGCCATCCTGCTTTGGTTTGGCTCAGTCTCTCGTCCATTTTCTTAAGGCTCATGTATGCAGATTTGAAGCCTGGTGCTCACCCACTGTCCAACCAGATGCCTTGCTTACCGAAAGCCTACAGAAGCCTCAGTATTGTTTTAGCCACTCTACTCCAAATGGATAAAATGAGACTCCGATTGGGGAAAAAAAAGTAACCCTGGTAGTTTGACTTCTTACCGAATATTTTACTGTGTTAACACTCATTATTTATACAGACATTAGGTTTACAGAATATTCTGTTTTACATCACCAAAATTCACAGTCCGAGAATAACAACATAACCAGGTTCCAATCCCTTCATGCACCCCAGAAGCTTCTGTCCACCCTATTTTCTGCATAGAAATTAGCGCGACCCACAGGTAAACCCCCTGGCTTGGTTCCTAATCAAGCTCTGACAGGCCAACATTGTGGAGTCCTAACCCTTTCCCATTCACTTCTGGTCTCCTTGTCTAGCTAACTCCCTCCCCCCGAAGGTTAAGGCAGCTGGCTCACAACCAAGTTGTTTGGTGACCTTGGGTGAGCTCCAGACAGGCACTGGGGTGAGGAGATGTCTGTGCAGAATTACTTATGGAAAGATCTTGGGATGCTGGATTTTAATTTTTAAAGCAAGAAGTTATGGGGGACATGTTTCCTGTCCTGGGAAAAATGGAGACCAAAGTGATATTAAGAAAGTAGTTTGGATTTCAAGTTTATAAATCACTTGTTCTGTGGGAAGCTATCAGGAACTAGATCATTTTCCACCTCTGCTTATTGTACTTCTTAATGTTAGATTTTATACCTGGGAAAGCTGTGACTCTATTAGAGCTTTGAATCTTTTCCTGTCCTTTTATCTTTACTCCTACAGGGAATGGCTTCAGCTCCCTTCTCTTTTAGAATTAAACAAGTAAAAACTAAGCAGTTTTTTTTTTTTTTTTTTTTAATAACTGGCTCCAGGGAAAGACATTATTATATTACCAACAGCTGAATTTTTTTTTTTTTCCATTCTGGGACCTACTAGCAATACATGTCAGGGTAGCAAAGACTTTTCCTTTCAGACCCAACTAAATGATCTCTCTGCTTTTGATACTCTTTTCCTTCTTGGTCTTTCATCCTTGCCTGTCCACTCACAGATGGATTCTTTCTCAATACTCTTGCTTCACTTGCCCAGGTTTATTGACTAGCATCAGTTTAAGGAGCTGGACTTCCTGGGACCTCCTTGGCATCTTGTAGGGTGATTGGAGTGGCCCGAGCACTCAGCTCTTCAGAGGTCAGGTGACCCACTTTCTTTGGTTAATGAAATGTTACTGTCTCCAGGTTAGTAGCTGTCATGAACAGGAAAGATGGCAAAATGGAAGACCAGTTCCATTGTTCTTTTCGTTTAGGGGATTCATTTTTTATCTTGTAATCTTTTTTTTTTTTTTTTTTAAAGATGGGGTTTCTCCATGTTGGTCATGCTGGTCTCCAACTCCTGACCTCAGGTGATCCACCCACTTCAGCTTCCCAAAGTGCTGGGATTACAGGCGTGAGCCACCACGCCCAGGCTTTTATCTTGTAATTTTAAGATTTCCTCTCCTCTCAACTTTACAGCGGCCTTGGGCCACCTGCTGTATTTTTCAGTATCCCCTGAAAATTTAGAAATTAGAAATAAGTGTAAAGCACGTTGTTTATTTTCCAAAAAACCTTTGAAGCCAAAGGAGTAAAAAGAGACAAAAGGAAGGGGCTTAACTGCTTCCCAGTAAAAACTCTGGAAAGCCCACTCTAGCAGGAGGATAAGTGTTTTGGAGAGTTGTGCATGGGAGCGAGGGCCTCAGTGTTACTCTTTTTCTTGTTTAAGATCAGTCAGAAAGCAACACAAGTGTTGGCCACCCCTGTTCTCCCTTCTCCCTCTGTCCACTGGCCTGCAATAATAAAAGCCATGCAGACCAATGGGAAAGGCTGCAAACGCAGTGAGTGGAGAATGGGACAGTCATTTTTCAGTAGAGTTTAAAAATAGAGGTGTATAATACATATTTTTATAAGCAAGAAGCTGTTGGTAAGACTTTTTTTTTTTTTTTTTACACTTAGAGTTTATAGTTTTGGGGTAGGAAGGAAGTAACTGTTAAAAGAAAACAAAGTGCAATTTTTCTTTAAAAAAAAATAGGCTGATGGGACTTGCTATTAAAGGGGTTGAGTTTTATGCCCTGCACAGGGCTGGAAAAAAGCCGGTTTTTCCCAACATAAGTAGAAATTACTAAGCAGAATGTGGCATTTCACTTCATGGTAGCAGTTCTGGAAGTTTATTTACACAGTAAGTTCCAAGCTAGAAGCAGACAGTCTCCAGTCTTCCTGTCAGGCTCTGTAGTTACGGGGTGTTCCCAGTCAGCCAAAGCAGCACCAAGTGCAGTGGGAATGAAGAGAACCCAGATAAAAAACTGACTCAGTATTCTTGTTTTATTGGTTTATGGCTTGCGGGCAGCTGGCTGAGGCCAGGAACTCCAGAGGCCCTCCTTGTAGTTCCCTCTCCCTTATCAGGTAATTCCACACTTGGCAGGTCCCATACCTGGAAGCAGCGTGTTGACCAGATAGGAGTAGGATGAAGTGGGTATACCAGGAAAACCCAGCTCTTCCCACTGACACTTGGTATTGTAGTTTACTATGCTAGAACTGATAAGGAGGTAATGAACTTGGTCCCCACTACCTAGCCCAAGAACCAGCCTGGGTACCCACGTACCATTAGAAGTGGGGAGGGGAGAGCAGGATAGGGGAAAAAGATGGCCTTCATGAAGGAGC